TCGGTTCATCCTCACATCAGAGTCAGAGTCCATTTTCCCCTCAAAGCACGAGAAGCGTTAMCCCATATATATACATATATATGCTAAAATGAGACAAGAGTAAGGACTTTCTACCAATGAGGTATATACACCTAAATATACCTCATTGCTTTCTACCTTCTAAGAGTAATGTTTTTTTTAATCCAATGAGTAAAAAGAACAGATAATTGTGTGAAAAGGTCTAGAAATAAAAACTTGACTGAAAAATAGTTACTCAAATATAGAAACCAACATTTCTACTTAAGTAAAGTAACAAAATACTTTGTATTTACAATAGCACMTTAATAATGACATTACAAGTTACACCAGAGCTACAAAAAGCTAACTTGGACTAAACACAGAAACTTAGCGTTAGCTTTAATTAACTTCTCTAACTTGGTTTTCTCCAGTCTGGTCCGGTTGCACTCAGTTGACATACATTTCTGGTGCATGCTCTTATTTTGAAAGTACCACACTTCCGTCGACATGAGCTGATGGTGTTTGGCTTGATGTTGTTTGGGACTCCACACCGCAGTATGATCTGCTTCATGGCTCCAGAGGCAGCCAATGAGGGCAGCTGCACGCGGGGGATCTCACAGCCACTAAAACTGGAGCACATGGAGGAGAMGTGACGTCACAGTCCCATCCTGATGACCGTCACCTCATTTACACTGGGGTTTAGCTCTACTGTTTAACAGAACTAAATAAATTAATTAAGTTTAGAGACATTAACTGCAGATTCAAACACAGGGAGGCGAGCACAATCAAACATAAAAAAATGTTTTTTATCTCTAATTATTGTTCATGTTTTAAAAACAATCTAGACATTTTTAAACCTTGTAACTATTGAAGTTCTTCTAAAAACATAAGGGCACACAAATAAATTACAGATCCTGAACACTCAGCAATAAAATTTATGAAGCTGCATTCTTTACTTGTATCTCACAGATGAATGAGGGATGGATATAAATGTAACCAGTTTGAACTTTTCAGGGCCTCAGAAGTTCACACTGGATTTTGAAATGCTTCCCGAATCTCTGCTGACATCTTGTGGAAGAATGCAGCAGTACAGAAAAGTGAGATTTCACCGTTTTTCTCTCTTTTATACCTTAATTTGTTCAAAGCATGTCCAAAATACATACAGTTGTTTTATTGCCAGCTGTCTTGCTTAATTTCTATGGCTACAGACATGGAGGTATGCTCTTATATTTTCCTC